TATGAAAGTGGTTTTTTCTAGTAAGGTTCTGACAATGTGCTAAATTTGACACCAGATTTCATCCTGAATACTATTACATGTAGGCTGATGTTTTGCATACTATAGCTACTTGACGTCAGCTTTCTAACAGTATGTCGAACATCTTCTCAGCATTGATATTGGTGGAGATACAAGCTATTATGAAAGTGGCCTTCTCTGGTAAGGTTCTGACTATGTGCTAACTTTGACACCAGATTGTGTCCTGAATACCATCACAAGTAAGCTGATGTTTTGTGCCCTAGACCTACATAATATCAGCTTTCTATCAGTGTATAGAATGTCTTCCTGGTGCCATTATCTGTAGAGCTACAGCCTGTTTTGTATTTTAGTAAAGTGCTAATCTTGATGCCAGATGCCATCCTAAATACCTCAACACGTAGGCTACCAGTTTGCATCCAAGACCTACTCAATACCAGCTTTCTAACAGTGCAAAGAATGACTACTCGGCATTGGTATTGGTGGAGATATAGCCTGTTATACCTAGTAGACTTTGTATTACTTCTGTGCCCACACTCAATTTTTGTAACCTAGTCATGTTATCTATAAAGATAAATCTTCATTAAAGTACAATATTAACGCTCTTTTTGCAATAACCTAAGCATAAGTTATGCTTTGTATTGGTTGTGTTCTGTGAATTCTGTATTTACCAAGAAGGATTCTGATGTCGGTTACCATGACCTCTTACATCCTGGTACATGCTGCTATGTCCCAGTACATTCTGTTATGTCTTGTTACATCCTGTTGCATCCGGGCTTTCATTGCCACATCTACTTATGTCTCGACTTTGATTGCTAGGTCTGCATACATCCTGAATTGCTGTTAGCATTTCAGCGTTCTGTATGTTTGATATACAGAGTATACAGGATACAGGTGTTTATTTTTACTAATGTAGTACCATTAGTATTACCTTTATCCAGATCTATCATAAGTCTGAAATCATTGTCCTTCTGTTGGTTTTCTATTAGGTTAGTACTGTTATCTGCTGGTAACAAGGGAAGATTCTCAATATTGATAATAGGTAAGTTGATTCTGTAGTTCTCCTTATAGGTTTCAGCTCAAGTAATAGCTTCGCATGTAGTCAATAGATGCCTTTCAGAGATGATAGATAACTGTAATTGTATAAATATATAGAATATCTATATTAAAAAAGTAATGGCAGGTACATTTCCAAAACTTAAGATTGATTATATATCCTTGTGCACCATTTATAACCCATGTAACTAGTACTTCATTTAGACCTGAGATTTGAACGGTATACTGATGGGCAAATTTAAGTCTTTCTTTTAATCTTTCCATTCTAAAGCTGGTTAAGGGAGAGTCCCCGGGCTGTAACCATACTTCTGCTTTCTTATAGCACTGATAGTGGCGATTCATTTCCTTATACCATATCCAATTTAATATCAAGAGGACTGGTTACACTTACTCCTCCAAGTAGATTAAATTCATGTACTCAACAATGTTAGAAGTATCATGTGAGTACAGTCGACTAAGAAAGTAGACAGAAGAAAAAAGTTCTAGTCCAAACTCATTGATATACAATGCAGCATTTAGTTTCAGATTAGTTAAGACATGTATGTATTTATAAAATTGTGCTAAATTGGATGAATGTACAATCTTCCAAAATAGATTTTTAGCAGCAAATCCATAACTCTTTTTCCGATTCTCACTGATATGCTGATAATAATATGCTCAGGTGACATTGTTTAAAATCTGATCAGCAGCTATTCAGCTTTGTCCTGGTCTCTAATAAAAGTAGTAATAGATTCATTAATCTCAAGGATTATACTATTATTGAATATACTTATTAACTTATCATCCTTAGTATAAGTAGCATCTTGAAATCTCACTCAAATCTCCTTCTTTAAACCAACATAAGAGTAACCATGTACCAACCAATTCTTGAAACTTAATATAAAACAAAAGTAAGTATCCGAGTCAACTGATACTTGAAACTAAATATGAAATAAAATTAGGTATCAGCTGATACTTGAAATCAACATAAAACAAACTAATATACAACTCACATAAACTGGATACCAGTTCCAATTACATCTGCTTACTATAGGCATACTATAAAAGGAGTTTTTAATTGTTTATATCTACCTTCTAAAAATAAACAGAACCTAATATGGTATAGAATAAGGGAGAAGAAGTGATGTAAGAATAAAATAGTAGCAGCGGTAAGAACTAATACTGAAAGTTGAAGGATAGAATCAAGAATTACAAGATATATAATAAAAAGAAGTTAAAGAAGTAGCTAGAAGGAATAGAGAAGCAATAGAGAAACAGAAAATAAGAAACAGTATGATATTATGATACTGTGAAAACCTCACTAGTTTTTATGACTTTCCCTTTTCTCTTCATTTTTCCCCTTTTTGTTCTAATGTGACACTCGCTTTTCTTATAACAAATACAGGTCACACCACGAGGCCCTTATACTTACAATCACACCCGCTGTAACCTGAAGTGAAACAGGACGGCTAAAGACATGATTTCCCAATACCTCGTTTTACAGCAAGAGATACCATTTCCGATACCGTGCCCTATAGATGTCACCTAGGGTACCGTATCAATTTTTTACGATTGAGTAACTTGCCGCCCCATTCAAACACCAAGCACAACGTTTCCGGGGTGAGTTTGCATAGCATCTACTATGAGACTCTACCATCTGATAGCTTACAACCTACCTATGGTCCACGCACCAGGAGGAGATCCGGGTAATACTACCTCCTTTACAGCCCTCTCCTACTCTTGACATCACGGAATATCACTCGGTGGAAAACTTTCAAGCGGTTGTTTACCACCTATCGCTATATCACTGGGCGTTTGACACATCGTCGCCGGTAAGGTAACTGCGGTTTTGTAAGGGTTTTGGTGTTTGGCAGCGCATTGTTTGCAAGGTAGAGTTTGCGAACCTTTAAAATGTGATTTGAAAAATACAGTATGAGAATATAGGGTTTGAGAAACCAAATAAACCACGGCGTACAAAAAGCTCACTAAGAGTTTACCATAGCCGGCACATGCAGTTAGATTCAATGGCGTTTATGGGAGGTAATGTACACTCAAAATAGGCTCCGCAAAGGGAGTTTATAAGAAGTAAAGCATATCGCCTCGGGGCCTTGATCCATCGTATAAAGGCATAAAGGCTGATATCTTGGTCCCCATTTCTCTGCTATGCATCAATTATATGCTTTTACCTAGGCTTTTCTCACCGCCCCCGAAAAAAATTGGCATCCTGAGCATCAGGTGTGCGCTGGGGCGGTGACCCGCACCCCCGGCCCCGCCCTCCCCCGCCAATCCCCGGACATTCTTACTATCATACTATTCCAAAAATCACGTGCTTAGAATCATATGCCCTCCCTACCCCTGTTACTGCCACTGCCCTAGAGCTTGTGGGTTCTTATTCCAGGCCTGAGAAACCGACAACACGACCACCACGACACCACACAAGTCTGAGGGAGACGAAACTTGGGAACCCGACTACTCACCGTGCCGAACGATACTACTATCTTAAGTAGTAGGGATATTCCTAGTTTGGTATCAAAGCAAACGTATTAACACCCTTACTAAGAGTCAACAGACACAAAAGTTGAAAACCAGGTTATTTAACGGGTTGAATACTACCACTATCACGAGTGCCACTGATATTCCGAGTTGGCATCTAAGTTGGCATAGTATCACCCACTAAATCTTTATCTGTCTAGGACCTAGCTAACGAAGCGCAGATAAGTTAGATTCACGAACCCCCCACAAAAACAACAATGTCGAACGAGTCCGAGGCAAAAGAGAAAGTCAACGCAAAGGAACATCCCACTAACACTGCTAATGAGCAACCCCACTCCACCTCTCCCACCACCACACCACCTCCTCCCCCTCCAACCACACCACCACCTGCCCCTGGGAAGCCCACCCCATGGCTCTGCTGCACCTGCAAACACACCCACTTCTGGCTGCCAGAATCCCCCCTCCGCCAGTGCCCAACCCCGGCCTGTGCGCACAAGAAGTGTGTCTCGTGTCTCAGCTTCTGGCAGTGCTGTGCGTGTGGTGCGGCCTGGGAGATCAGTGGTCATGACGGGGGGATGGTTTGTTGGGATTGCGGGCATTCTCGGTGCACTGGGGGGGGTGGGGAAGCGGGAGGGGAAGGAGGCGCGAGGGGGTGCTATGTTAACTTTGCGGTCTGGCCAAGGGTTGGGGCGCTGAAGTGGGGGCGGGGGTGACTGATTGTCGGATTGAATGGGGGAAGCGAAGAGGGAAGGTGGGGGGTTGAACGCGCTTCCGTGGTGTTGGTTGGTAGGTTGGTTGGCTACAGGGTTTTTTGATGTCTGTTAGGACGAAATTGGCTCATCCCGCCATCTCAAAAATCTAATCTTGTTGCCTTTCGACAATGTGAAGTTATTACGAGTGATATCTGATGTGCCCAGTGCTCAAGTGAGTCAGTTAAATTTAAGCTGCGGCTGATATCATTTCCAGTTAACTGTTTCAACAAGCGCTAGGCAATGGCTCCAGGAAGCACCAGGAGAACTAACAAATGCCATATATTTGCCCCAGCTGTGCCCAGTCGGGGCCCACAAGCAAAAACTAAACAAAATTAAAACAAAAGCGGCTGCGGGATGCGATCCTATCAAAAGCTATTTCCTCCTTGTATTTGTTGGGTTTCATATGTGTAATTTCGTTCTACTGCAATAACCATAATCTAGATCACTCCTTTCTGTGGAAATAGCTTAAGATCTAGATTTTGTTCCAAACTCCAGATTTTTACAAACCCCATTTAAGAGAGAGGATCCCAAATGATATATTCCAAAAGCTCACCAAAAGGATACCACCGTCCTTTCTTTGCCAATGCCTTCTCTGCATCAAGTCCGCGCTTCTAGCCTACTTTCGTGGGTATCAAAAAACCTGGCAACCATAAGGTATATTAGGTCGGGTATCTTCAGTTCATCACCGGGGCAGGTTCGACAACCTGGCGTGGTACATTATTTCATTCCCATTACATCTATCCTGACGAGTTCACCATAAAAGTCATATGACCCCCGATTCAAGTGTATGAACGATTTTTTGCCTTGTCCCATATGCAAAAAAAGGAGGACCGCACAATCGCTTTCCAGAAAAAAAAAAGAACAGATCCATACAGGCAAAAGAACAGGAGAGAGGGAGAATATGGAACGAAAGGGTAAAAGAAAAGAGGAAGTGCTTTTATATTTTTATCACAAAGACACTTTATTTATCCGCCGCCTCGTCCTCCGCACCTGCCAAGAGGGCGTTCTTCTTCTCCTGGACACGGGCCTGCTTTCTCTCTCTAGCAGCCTTGGTCCTGGCTCGCTTGGCGTCCATCTCCTCCTTAAGTATACGCTCACGTGCCTTCTCGGCCTTAGCCTTGTGGACCTATTTTGTTCATCAGTATAGGAGTATTAATTAGAATAATGAGGCAGACGAACGTGCTCGATCAACGCTCTCTTATGCTTGAAGGTGTTGCCCTTGCTCAAATGATAGAGCTCGTGGTAGAGGTGCTTATCGATCTTTCCGGAGGCGCGGTACTTGACGAGAAGACGACGGAGAACGCGGAGACGGCGCATCCATAACACCTGGGAGGGCATACGGGCATCCTTGGTACCCTTTCTCTTACCAAAACCAGTGTGACGACCGGCGCGCTTGGCGGCAGCGAGCTCACGAGTTCTGTAGCGAGAGTGCATGGTGTTGGGCTTCTTGATGATAAGGCCATCCTTGAAAAGTTTGCGGATCGTTTGGCCTACGATGATTAGCTGTTTTGCAGTTCGCAAGTGGTGTGCGGATTTACGGCAGACATACGAGAATTTGCGTTGCTGATCTCGTTCATTTCATTGGGGTCGAGCCACACCTTTCTCTTTCCAACGCCCATAACAGAGGCCGCAAGGCGTTTTTGTGTGCGGAGATTGACCCTGAGATTTATCATCAGTACATGTCTTCCTCTGTGATGTGCTAAAGCCATTTGCCCCCCCCCCCCATCGGATATCCCAGCCAAAAATTGTGGGATGGTTTTGTGTTCGTCGCATCTTCTCCGACTTTCGGAAATTGAAATTTTCAAAGGTTCTCTGGAGGACACCGGATTGGCTTTTGCCCCGCCCGCTGGACCGGATGCCCTGACCGAAAGACCCCACCAAACCAAGCTACCTCGACAAGAAACAACAACTTTCAAAACGAGGGGGAAAAAAATAAAACTCACATCTTTACTGATTAATCCGGTTATCGCTGGGTGTTGATGGTCTGTTTGAGTTTGTTGTTGGCTGCTGCAGAAGTTCGTTAGCTTAGCCGTCGATGTGAATCACCCATAACGTTGTGGGGTGACTGTTGATTGCAACAAGGAGGGTGAAGTTTAAGGGCACAAACCCTAGAATGGTAACCCGGACATGGGTGATGTCACGTTCTTAGAATGTTTCACCTCCGGGGACCGAAGGCTTGGAGGTTTGTCGCGAAAACTTCATTATCAGATTCCACAGCTGCATGCCATATGTACAGTCTACAACAAGCTACCTAAGCACCCTCATCTCGCCGAGAGCAGAGTCAAAATTGACTTCCATAAAAATCGAGCATCGTTATTTTGATATTTTTTTACACAAGTAGAAGAAAGCCCCAAATGAGAAGAAACCCTATGAACAATCACCCTAAACACCGAACCGAAAAGTCAAACAATCAGATAATTACCGGCTTGGCGTGGTGAAGACTGCTCTCCCTAGGGCAGTAAGGGCATTTCAACGTGACGCTACTTCCTCCCTTTGCCAACCTCTGAAGTGATTCCTGAGCAATAACGTGACCACATGGAAGCATCATCGGAGGATTGCTGTCGGTGGTCTGGTCTTTAGATACGGGGCATACAAAGATGGAATGAAACTGGTATCCCGGTGGGAGCGCTATCTCCGCCTATTTTTCCGTGTGGGTTATTATCGCACGCTAAATCAGGGGTCAAGAAACGGGGATCCCTTACAGGCAGTTCGTTAACTGTGCTCCATTCGGTTTTCTTCTCTTTCATAATAGAAGCCATCTTCAATAGCGTTGGCAGAGCAATGGCCCCAGCTGTGGCAGCAATGTAAAGAGGGCTCTCAGCACTCAACCCAAGCAGACTACAAAACTCCTTCGTAAAGGAATGTGCAACGTCATTCCAGCTCTTCTCCGGGTCAGCAAATATCCTCGAGTACGGCGACTTTTCTGGAGATTGCAGAAACAAAAAGGCACACATAAGCTGCTGGATGTCTTTCAAATGCTTTTCCTGAAATCTCGAAAACTCTCGCCTGGCGTATGCCATAGCACGTTCCGGTCGCTCAATGAATAGCCAGATGAACTGTAATTTGCAAAGTTCGAACTCGAGATTACTACCCCGTTGTTCGAGTTGGGCCGATTTCTGACGAGCCCAGTCGATGGCGAGAGAGAGGTCACGGCGGGTACGCATAGCGTCTAGAATCTCGTACATCTCTTGAAACTCCTGTTGAAGTTCGGGCGGAACATCGATTGGACCGGCTTCGGTGAGGAAAAAATCTGCCACAGAAAATTGGCCCTCGCGAATCAAGTGCATAGCTATGGCTCGCTTTATAAGCGGCGCCTGGGAGGTTAGAGCGTCATAATCGTTCGTAGAATAGGTAGAGACCGCTTTGAACGTCTATTATGTTAGATAGGATAGCACAACGACCAAGGGTAGAGAGGCAAGGTACTTTGTCAAGGGCTTTCCCATAGCGGTTGAGTCCAGTGTAAATTTCCTTATGGTCGTCTTGGACTTTACTCAGGCCTGTGCTCATGGCTTGCTGCAGCTTCACCAGAGTCATTTTCGAGGTCGTCGGATCTGTACGTAGTCAGAACTACTCGTTTAACTAAAGGAACGGAATATAATGTAAAACCTCTCAATATAGCTTCCCGGGCATTTTCCAATAACCTCAGACAGTGCTCGACATCGTTGATGCTCTTAGAGAGGTTTGCCCTCTTGATCAGGCGCTCGTACTCCTTCTGAATAGCCTCCATGATTGTAGGGGTGGGTATACGAGGCAAAGAGCACGGAGGTTATGAGTAGAGTCGCCTTGAGTAGACTGCAGCTCAGCGGCGGCGGGGGAAATGGGGACGAGGTGAGAGTTTATGTGCTACAGTTAATTGTAACCGACTCTGCAGGTTGAAGCTAGTCGTTGTGGGCCGCCAAGACATGTGAAACTCTTTCAAACCAAGATCCGATGCTTGCTGTCCGTTACTAAGCATGTTCTGGGTTTTGTATGGTCAAGCGAGATCTGCCGGGTATGGGATTTTTTTTTTATGATACTATCAGTTCAGGATGGCTGCGGGCAACGAAAACCTACCCTTGTTGCCAACTTCATATGATACAAGACTTCTAAATTCGGAATGGCCTCTCCTTGAGAAGATATAATACAATTCCCTCAGGTGGTATTGTGTTACTGTGAGTAATAAATTAGAACTGGTCTAAGATCTCCGTCTCCACCCACAAGTACGAGTAAGGTCATGCGGGAAGGTCTTGTGGTTGGATTGAGAATGGTCTAGATATTGCACATCTCTGTCAAATCTCTGTCAAATAGCACGCTGCAACACGATCCGGCCATCGGCCCCGAGCGCACTAGTAGAATTGGGGCAAGGTGAAAAGTGGTTATAGGCTTTGGAATAGTACCTCATAATTTGGCCATAACTTATTAGAGGCACCGGTATTCCCAGATGCAAGGCAATTTCTGTGACAACAGTCTTTACTGGAAAATAGGGGTTTCATACTATGATACTAGATTTGTCAAGAATTATAACGATGCTAGCTTGTTCTTGTTGCAACAGGGGTAAGAGAGAATTCGCCATCTCCTAACTAAACTAAGGCCCTGTTCGGGAGGTGCCCAAATCCAGGGTTTGAGAGCAGAAACCCGTGGTTATGACTGATCCTGTGGTTTTGGAAATCAAGAAGGTGTTCAACATGGCAACACAATACCGGTAGTTACAATGTTTGGAAGGCTGAAACTTGGAGGAAGAAAAAAGAGCCAAAACCCCTGTGTTTGAAATTTTACCTCGGGAGGTGATTTTTCACCAAATTGCTTTGTTGCTCTGGTTATAGAGCTGGCTGCGACCCTAAAGTTGTCAGGATAGAACTAGACTCCCAGGGGAGTGTTCAAGAGAAATAGTGCCGTACTATAACATAAGTTTAGTATGATATCATAAGTTGTTGAGGCATTCCAGTCCCCAATCCGCGACACTTGCGGCGAAGTGCTCAGAATACCGCAAAATGTCTACTGCCTAGCCTATTATGGCCATCAATGGAAACCAGAAGTTCTGTGTAGGTTTCTCCCAATTATCCAAATAGGATAGTTTTGCAAATTTTAAAGGTTGACCGGAGTCTTTCGACAAGGATACTTGTTATTTTCTAATTATGATACTTTAGCTAATGGCATCATGGGCTTTCGGGCTTTACTCTAGATGCCAAACATGCCCAAAGTTTTTTCCAAACCACCACTTACTTACATTTCCGAGTTGGCGCAACAACTACAAAACTCGAATTGTCAAAGCCGCGATAGGAGTCGAACAGGCCCTTAGTTTCCGATTTTTACAGACGCACCCGAGTTTATCTCCAGTATCACAATGTCATTATCCCTTGAACTGCCAGCAACGGCCATTCACGTGAGATGGTCTAACGTCCACTGTCACGATAGGTTTTTAATGGTGTTGGATGAAGTGACCCCGGAACCCTAGCGCACCCACCGACAAGTCCAACCCCATCCGGTGAAGTCACGTGAATGGCAGTTGTTGGCAGTTTAGGGGATACTGTAAAGGTGGTTTACCACACTCCTATGGAGCCTACCGGTACCCTTTTATTCTCACGTGACCATAAAAAGAGGGTAACTCTAACTTAAGACTCAGCCTTTATCTACATCTTGGTATCATATCCGGCCACATAAACTCCATTTCCTCTCCTCTTCGTAGTATCAACTGAACGATAAACCCCCGAGATGATGAAACGTAACTTCCTCGATGAGCCAGCACCGGCAAACTACGTCGCTGGTCTCGGTCGCGGTGCTACTGGATTCACAACACGATCTGATATTGGTCCCGCACGTGAAGGCCCTTCAGAAGAAGCTATCAAGGCCGCCCTCGCGCGAAGAGCTGAAGCGTTAGGACAGGCCCCACCGACTGCCTATGTTTGTTTTCCGTTTCCTACTTTCTTTGAGGTATTCGCTAATGATAGTCTACAGGGTGCGGATAAGAAGAAAGACGATGATGACGATGACGACGATCGATTTCAAGACCCCGAGAATGAAGTTGGACTTTTCGCTGGAGGAGCATACGACGAAGACGATGACGAGGCAGATAGGATATATCAAAGTGTAGATGAGAAGATGGAAAAAAGGCGAAAGTCACGAAGGTATTACTCTCCCTCCTCCTTCTTGCCCTTCTTTTCTCGTGTTTGCCACTCTTATTTTTTGTTGTGGAATGCATGGTTTATCATCATGGTTTATACGGGACAGTTTTGCCGACTCCTTCGTCATCATATAGGGAAGCACGTGAGAAAGCCGAGCGCGAAGAATACGAGCGTAAGAATCCAAAAATTCAGCACCAATTCGCTGATTTGAAGAGAGGACTGGAAACCCTCACCGACGACGATTGGGCGAGCTTACCAGAAGTGGGGGATCTTACGGGGAGGAATAGAAGGGCGAGACAAGCCATGCGACAAAAGTTTTACCCGACCCCGGATTCGGTGTTGGTCAATGCTGCCGGCTCACAGTTCGAGACTTCTGTCCAGGATGAGGGCACCTCTACGGTTTCCGCCGATACGGCGGATGGGACTATGACGAACTTTGTGGATATTGGGAAGGCGAAGACAAAGGTGCTAGAGGCAAGGCTGGATAGATCTGGGGGTGATTCGGTGACCGGTGCTACGAACATTGACCCAAAAGGCTACCTCACCTCGCTCAACCGGAGTACCACTCAAACTGCAGAGCAGGTCGGCGATATCAAGCGCGTCAGAGAGCTATTACAGAGTGTCATTAAGACGAATCCCAAACACGGACCCGGTTGGATCGCAGCCGCTCGTCTTGAAGAAGTAGCTGGTAAAATGGTCCAAGCCCGAAGTCTTATCGCCCAAGGTTGCGAGCATTGTCCGAAGAACGAAGACGTATGGTTAGAAGCAATGCGTCTAAACGAACCTGCAAACGCCAAAATCATAGTAGCAGACGCGGTCCGACACAACCCCAAATCCGTTAAGCTATGGGTGGAGGCAATGGAGCTTGAGGCAGAACTGCGGGCAAAGAAGAGAGTTCTCAGAAAAGCTCTCGACATCATCCCCCATTCAGTTGTCCTCTGGAAAGAAGCCGTAAAACTCGAGGAAGATCCGTCAGACGCCAAAATCCTCCTTGCCAGAGCCGTCGAACTCGTCCCCTTGAGCATAGAACTCTGGCTGGCCCTAGCGCGCCTAGAGACCTTCGAAAACGCACAAGCAGTCCTCAACAAAGCCCGCAAGGCCATCCCCACAAGTCCGGAAATCTGGATCGCTGCAGCAAGACTCCAAGAGCAGCAAGGAAACGCTAATAAGGTCAACGTCATGAAACGCGCTGTCCAAGCTCTCGCCCGAGTAGAAGCAATGCCCACACGTGAAGACTGGATCAAAGAAGCCGAAAAATGCGAAGAAGAAGGCGCGGTCGAGACCTGCCAAGCTATCATCCGGGAAACCCTTGGCTGGCAACTGGAAGCAGACGATGACAGGAAGAAGATCTGGATGGACGATGCTGAAGCTTCTATCTCTAGAGCAAAGTACGAAACCGCTAGAGCGATATATGCGTACGCTTTAAGAGAGTTCCTGGTGAAGAAGAGCATCTGGCGCGCAGCCGCGGATCTTGAAAAAAACCACGGCACGAAAGAAGCTCTCTGGAACGTCCTCGAAAAAGCTGTTGAAGCCTGTCCGCAGAGTGAAGTTTTATGGATGATGCTCGCCAAAGAGAAATGGCAAGCGGGGGATATTGACGGCGCAAGAATTGTCCTTGGAAAAGCATTCAACCAAAACCCCAATAACGAAGACATCTGGCTTGCTGCTGTCAAGCTTGAAGCAGAAAACACCCAGCACGCCGCCGCCCGGGAACTCCTTGCTACTGCCAGACGCGAGGCGGGCACGGATAGGGTGTGGATCAAATCTGTCGCCTTCGAACGCCAGCAGGGGAACACCGACGCTGCTCTGGATTTGGTAAATCATGGGTTGCAACTTTACCCCAAGGCGGACAAACTCTGGATGATGAAGGGTCAAATATACGAGGCTGAGGGCCGACTCCCCCCCGCACGGGAAGCATACAATACCGGTACAAAAGCATGTCCCACAAGCGTTCCGCTCTGGCTTCTCCTCTCTCGGCTTGAGGAAAAAGCCGGCGTCCTCGTCCGCGCCCGCTCAGTCCTCGACCGTGCCCGCCTTGCAGTGCCCAAATCCGCGCAACTCTGGTGTGAGAGCGTCCGCGTCGAGCGGCGCGCGAACAACATCTCTCAGGCCAAGACCCTCATGGCGAAAGCCCTGCAGGAATGCCCACACTCCGGCCTCCTCTGGGCAGAATCAATCTGGTACCTCGAACAGCGCACGCATCGCCGCCCGCGTCTCGTCGAGGCCATCGAGAAAGTCGGTAACGACCCCTTACTGTACGTCGCCGTCGCGCGGAACTTTTGGGTGGAGAGGAAGTTGCCCAAGGCGATTAATTGGTTTGAAAAGGCTATCCTGGTAGACCCGGACTACGGTGATACGTGGGCGTGGTACTGGAAGTTCCTAAGCATGCACGGGACTGAAGAGAAGCGGGGCGACGTGCTCAATAAGTTGAGTATTACCGAACCACGGCACGGAGAGGTGTGGCAGAGGGTTGCGAAGCATCCTGGTGCGAGGTATAGGAATTCGGAGGAGGTTCTGGAGGCGGTCGTTAAGGAATTGGAATAGTTTGTCGTCTTATAGACCAATGTCGTGAAATTGTGGCTCTTTTAGTTTTGCTAATGGAGGAGAAGGAGGGGCATTTGTATGATAGTGTGGGGTAGTGCTTACGAAACGATAATGACATTCCCTTAGTTCTTCCGCGATACATTTGATTTACTTTTTGTAAGCAATTGTGACAACACCTCCCAAAGCAGCTCTTTTCCTCAATTGAGAAAAATAGAGGCCAGTAGGCCCAGAAGTGGAGTTAGGTAGGACCTTGTGTGGGGCAGAGTGGCAACGGGCAGTCTGCACTCGGTACTGTACCATAATATTATCATACTATCGGTATGAATAAGGGTAGTTGATGTAAAGCCGCCACCAGGAACTAGATAAAGGCGTTGTGAGACGCTCAAGAGAGTATCCCCTGGCATCTCTAATATCACATGAGATCCTACTTACCCGATAAGATATTTTTCCACGACTCTTGCTACTATAGTTTCTAGAAGCAATATATACCCTTCTCCACTTCGTTCAGAGAACCTTTTTTTCTTCCCTAAACATAATTAGCCAAGGAGTAACTGGCTCGAGGACTTCCCTGAGGATTTTCAGTTCCCTGTATATTTGAGGCTCCGCCCCCTTCAAATACCGGTATGATACTATTCCTAGATTCGCTGCCCTCGCCTTGTCCAATACCATCAACCACGCCTGACAAGGGCAACTGTTCTCGCCATTCGGATACCCCAATCAAGGCGCCACAGAAGTTGATGACCCAAATTGGAAGGGAAAAGAAGGGCAAAGTTGGAGGCGAGTGGACTCGAACAATGCTTAGGCCCACCGCTAAGAGCACACTCCTAGCTCAGGGCTACTATCCGGATACCAGACAAATGTATCCACGAACAGTAAAAACAAACCCACTTACCAGTTCTAGCCAGGACCCCAACAAAGCGAGAACAATGCACAGCATAGCGACAAAAAGATCGCGGAGTATAGAGGAGTCGTAGGGAGGTTCTGTGGGAGGTATTGATTGACCATTCGTAGATATCTGCCAGCAGTACTGCACTAACCCCAACACGACACTATCTATCCCATGAAGCGGTAAATGCACTGAGTTTCCCTACACTACTGGTGGCAGCGCTGCTGGTATTAAGCAGACCCAGGGGGGTTATTATGTTGGCACCCCCAGCTAGCGCAGTGCAATATAAGCTCCCATACGAGTACCCTAAGATAAGGCAGTGCATAAAGGTCAAGTCCAAAGAAGGAAAAAAGTTAAAATTTGGCGGAGGAATGGCTCAACCCCTCTGGCGGAACTTGCAGGAAGCAATCTTTTGACCCACATTGCCAATAGAGATAAGAAGAGCAACACAGTTCACAGGATAAACATGAGTAGCAATAGTGAGAGGAGAAGAAATATTGATAAGTCATTGAGCAAGTACCTTCTGAGAGGGGTTTTCTCATACGGCGCGGGTCTTTCCCCCCCACAAAAAAAACCCGAAAATGGGTTCGCGGTATTGAGCGGGAGGCCGGTGGATACCTGTATAACGAGGCCATAGTCCGCTAGTGATCCATAACCTATGCGATCAAGCTGGTGGAGAAGATGCCGCGGTCTCTGGACCTGCATTGTGACTTCCCAGTCTAACCTAGTGTGGTTGGTGAAGACCGCATTTGCAGTACTGCCCCAAGTTTTTGTGTGTTGGCTCTTCAAATGGATTCTTTCCGAAGCATTAGCTAGAGCTTCTTTGATCACCCGAAAACATTGTTTGGTGGGCACCAACCACCCAAATATTTCCCAAGGGAAGGTCATGTGTTAGGGGATCGGGCTGCAAAAGATTTTGCGCCTAGTTTAAACCCACTGATACGACCTTCGAGATCTATAGTGTTTCTATCCTAGTCCGGATATCGGTGTCTGTCAAGTCTACTGTGATTTACTGTACTGTGCCGCATTGTATCGTACCGAGACCTAGACAGGTGCGAGTGATACCCGGTGGTCCCATCGCCCGGATGTCATTGCCTACCCAATAGTAAATAATTAGGAAGCGGGATGCGTAGAAGGGATGGAACGAGTCAGTGAGTCTGCCTCATCATAGAAAAAATGCAGTCTATTTGTGGCTCTTAGGAGCTACGCGGCGGGTGAGAGGATGTGGCATGCTTTGTGATTAACGTTCGCCTGAAGGGGTGTGGGAGTGGAGGGGCAGGTAGCGAGGAAGGAAGAAGAGAAGCAAAGGAGAGTCCTGGGCAAATCTTAGGATCACAAAGGCATTCTCTATGCGTTTGGTCGCCATTGAAGGAATATACTCGAAAGAGAGGCAGAAACCCCTAACCACCCCTTCCTCGCCCTCCGGAGAAAGTTTTTAATTAATAATTTTTACTTGAGCCTCAAGCATTCGAAACGATTAGGCTATTAAAGCACAGTTCCTGATCCTCGTCTGCTCATGCTCCACGATATAGCGATCAGCCTAGAAACGAGAAGCTTCGTCTCGAGTGTCGAACCCGAGCCGGAAAACAGTTGACGTTAAGCTAGGAAAGTATTAACAAGAGGAGGAGAGCAATATGTACCCAAAGTCCAGCTTCAACACACGGAAATGATGCACCCGATTATTTTAACTCTATGGCTGGCGCTTCCAACTCTTCTTCCATGCCCTCCTCTCTCCAGTCATCCTGCTTCTCCTGCGCAAAGACCTTGTCGACCATCATAACATCTCCCTCAACACTAGTATCGCTAACAGCACTACCTCCTCCAAGGTCACCTTAGGTCGACTCCATATCACCATGGATAGCTTCAGCTTCAATAGTCCTCAATCCCTCATTCTTCTTATGACTCTTCCTGATCCCTATGCTCAAGACTCACACGACCTTTTGGACGGCCCTTTAATTCCTATGATATCTAAACTGTCACGCAACCCCCATTTAGAAGCGAATAATCATCGATAGCAACACGCAATGACAATACTTAACTTCCGCGAAACCAACCAAACCAGGTGCCTTCACAGACATGATGTCCAGAGCAAGCCGCGCGATCCGCCGATTGAGATTCTATAATTTGGCACGATGTGACTCCAGGTTAAACTACCATTTTTTCTGCAAAAATTCCGTAAAAATAATAGAAGTCAAAAGCGAATTAAATTAAATTCAAGACTAGACCGGAACAATTCCTCCAGTGTCCTCTTTCACGCGGTGAACGGGACTCTAATATAGTCTCCATCCATGCAAGCGATAATCCCATTCGAACGGTGGAGAGCCATTACCGCTTCCGTCGCCCCCTCTCTTCACTCTTATTTATAAATGTCGTAAGCATCATAGCTTCTAGTATGACACTTGATATCAGCACAAGAACAAACCCACCCTACACCAACAACCGGAACGACTGAAACCCCCCCAAAGCCTGCCGTTAAGATAAACAGGTAGACCTAGATAGATGGCTTACCCTTCGCACAAAAAAACAGGTTACTGCCATACACTACACAAGGTATGATACGATATTCTCATATCATACTATATAGTCCCCGGCATGGAACCACCATAGGGAACAAATGAATCGTAAGGAGGAGGAGGAAAGTAGGAGCTTGAATCTCTCTAAGGAGAAGTATAGCATTACTAGTTCTAGGCACAACCTCAACTGATTTGTGCTGGGGCTACCGGTACCGTACAAGTACGAGTATTGTGTCGATACCCAGAACCCGCTCTAGGTTTTACAACAAATCAAGAGCGCTAGTTCTAATGGGGTAATATACTATACCTAATAAGGAAGTATCTTGGCTAATTATTAAGCAAAAATATTTTTCCCTTATCATACAAGTCTCACTATCCTCCTTCCCATACAAACTTTCAAAGCCTCTACGCTCCAACCATAGGGCTAAAAAGAAAATCGCTCTCAACCAATTAGGAGGACTCTGTAGAAGGAATTCTAAAAATTCTTTTAGTATCATAGGTGTTGCAAGTTGAAAGTCGTCCAAGTTGTGTGTCGTGAGGGTAGGTTCTAAAGTGCTGGCATCATCGGTACGAGTCATCAAGGGCTAGGGTACTATTCCAAACTCTGAATAAAACCGAAAGCTTGAAGAGCTATGATAATATTAACATACAGCAAAACGAATAACCCATCGCCAACCAACCAACCAACCAACACACCCAAACATCAACACCCCCAAAAGTGTCCTAACGAACATCCTGTCCTGGACCGAAAACCCCAACACCTAACATCACTTACAGTAACAGATTGTCGATTAATTCCACTACCCCCCCCCCACCCCAGCCACCGCCCGAGGCCCCGGAGGTCAATCATCACTCTTTCGCACATCAGGAATGAGGTCTGCTCTATCCAGCAACATTGACATTATCCCCTCATGCCCACCATCCTCCGCGTAAGAAAGTACTGTTCGACCCTGGGGAGAGGACAAATTCGGATCGACACGCTTGCTGGTTAGTAAGAGCTCCACCACAGCCTCATGTCCCTTAATGACAGCGCACATGAGCGGGGTCTCCCCATTATAATTTCTGAAATTCGGGTCGACCTCTTCCCGCTGCAGCAACATTTCAACAATCCTCTTATTCCCAAAAGAGGCTGCCCAGCCGATCGGCGTGTTGACCCAGTATCCATCAACGCGGTTCATGTCCACACCATCTCTTTCCAAGAGCAATTTCACAACTTCATCGTGACCCCCGGAGCAAGCGAACAGGAGCGGTGATCGAGATTCTGGACTGCACACGTCCGGGTTGACTTCTTCCTTGGATAAGAGCAGCTTCACCATGTCACTGTGTCCCTCTGCCGCGGCGAATGAGAGCGGTGTACGTCCCGCGTGGTTTGGCGCGTCCGGGTTCACGTCCTCCCGGGCCAACAATAACTCTACTAACTCGGTATACCCGTTTTGCGCAGCAAAGGAAAGCGGCGTTCGACCGAAAAAGTTTGCGGCGTCGGGGCGGATGTCCTTTCGATTTAGAAGTAGTCTGGCGATTGCCCCATGGCCACTTGAGGCGGCTAACGATAGGGGCGTCCGGCCATGCCAGTCGGCTAGATTGGGATCAACACACTCCCGCCCCAGGAGAATCTCTACCACCTCTGTGGCGCCGTTCATGACGGCCCAGAAGAGCGGGGTGCGCGTTCTATTATCTGCCATGTTTGCGTCGAGAAACTTCTGCACTAGAGAGTGCGATGCTCCTCCCCCGTGTTCACCTGAACCTTTCCCCACAGCTGCATGACGTACACTAGAAGCCTCCGAGGGGTTCTGGTCCCCGTGGATTTGTTGACTGTTACTCATGTCCGAGCGGTGAGCGCACCAACCCCGACTTCAGATCAGGAGCTTGTTGCTTGAGACGAACAAGAGAAGGAATAAGAGGAAGGACCGCGTCGGTCGAGTTTCGTATCAGTGAACTGTCACTTTGGGCTCTGTGGTTGGGGGCGTGGGCGGGGGAGGGGTAGAGATGTTCACCTACTTGTACCACCAACATCTCAATCTCGTAAAGCTCAATACGATCAAATTAAAACGCTTAGCCAAGGCAGCGCTTATTGGTTCAAAATTACTCTTGTTTCAATAGAAAAGGTCATAACGAACACACCCCGCATCTCCTAGAATTCCCCCAAATCAAGGAAAACCACTGCCCAACCACTACAAGTATCGCATCGTACCCGGGTGGAGACCACCTAGAATCCAATCTCATATAATAACAGCGGTACCGCAGGTTTGTCTTGCCAATATGAAAGAATAGAGATTTCACACAAATGCCAACTCCCGAAACATTCACTCGAAACACCCGGATAGGGGTGGACATCAGTGTTTTCCACCCAACCAATTGCACCTGCCTCGAAGAACCCCCTCCCTGCTTAAGTCTCCCAGGGAAACAAGAAAAAACCCCAATACCTTAATTGTCTATCCCGACGGGCATACAGGACTATATACTAGAGACTTTTGCGGTGAACGCATCCAGAGTCATTTTGCCGGTCCCGGCATGCATATGCCAAGACTGATAACATCGAGCCCTTGATTAGACTCCTAGGGCTTCCACCACATCAACATTCCTCTCCTTCGAACAGTTGATGTTCTTATTTTTTATTATTATTTATTTTTGGAGACCTGAGAATGGGGGGAATGAGTGACCTCGATCTAGCTATATTTGGCCTCCAACTCATCCTACCTAAGCCCGAGATTTATCAGTACGCTTTGTCCATAAATACGCGATGGATGGGCCAGGGGTGCGACAGAGGAGCATGTAACCTGGGGGAGCTTGTTCCAGAGGGGTGGAAGACATACTTCGGGCACCGTACCCTACTTCTATCAAGGCTTATAAATTTTTACGACTTGAAACTGCTGTAGTTAACAAGAGTATGTATTCCGAGGAAGAAATTGAAACCTATCATCCGTGTTTTGATTTCGAATTGTGTCGTATGTGGTGATGGGATCTCTCCATACTTCATGAGAATGCCCTTCCTATTTCTTGGCCTGAAATAATAATTATGGTTTTTAATGCCATCAACTGCAAAGTACTCGTATTCCGTCCATCCCATACCAGTATCTAAAACCCTAATTCTTGGCGTCTATATAAGGGGTCTGGATGTATGATATATCCACTGCAAGGCTATCCTATCATACTCGAGTATCGTACTGCACAGGAACATTCCTAGCCACAGCCAATGAACGATCCATACCGTGCCAAGAAAATGTATCATAAATTTGACCCAGAGAGCCCCCAGCGTCCACTGGGCGCGCGTCGGTGCTGGAAAAGTGGACTATGATACTGCATACTTCTAACTTATGAGAGGCTGCCATTCCCAATACAGTCCCCCAGCATTAAGGGCGAGCATGGCAGAACAACTTATGTAATGTAGTCTACGGGAGAGACGAGGAACAGATGGGGAACGACAAACCATAACGCTGAAATCCACGATGTCAACTAGGAAGGTGCAATAATATCAAAACTTCTACCAGCTGTATCTCTACTAGTACAAGTAATGTAGTCTAAAAAAATACTGCAAATAAATATATCGCCTGAATCAACAAACAATCGCCTAAATCAGTACGGGCAAAATGTGGTCATGTCCGCTGCGCTGCCGACTGGAATTTAGAACCTTGGGGTATTTAAGTCTACAGGAAGCCAGCCAACCCTTTACAACTCAGGATTTTCGAGGGGAGTGAAAAGCAGTGGCGCAAATAACTAGCTATCATTCTGGCTAAAGATGGTTACAAAAAAAAATTGAAATCGAAGTGAAAATGTTAGGGATAAAGAGAAATGGCCGAACCGTAGTGTCGAGAGATGGTGCCATGATAGTACCATTAAATATCCGTACTCACTACCCACCCACTCTTGATCAAATAACGCTGAGGAAAAAAATAAAAAACCACGCCACAGACCAAAATGAACAAACCAATACAACCGTGAACCCCATCTCAAGTAAAGAATTGAAAATGAGGAAATCCCAACCCAGAGCGCCCAACAATGCACGATTCTAAGCTTGAAAACGCCGTGTCTTATTCCGTATTCTCAGTCAACTCTCTTCCCAACATTCCCCCACCCCTCCCTCAGCACCTCCTCGATTTCCTCCATCCTAAGGCCCTTCGTCTCCGGGTACACCAACCACACCGCCACAGTCCCAGCTACACACACCAGGGCATAAAACACAAATAAGCCGGCCGCACCCCCATACATCAACTCCACTGCAGGCAAGAAACTCGCACCAACGACGAAATTTAGTATCCAGTTTGTCGCTGTAGCCACACCTGTGCCGAGACCGCGTACCCGCATGGGGAAGAACTCGGATTGAACGACCCACGGGATTGCGCCGATGCCTAGCGCGTACGAAGCGACGTAGAATGCCATGAAGAGGATTAGAACCGGTGACCAGGGGTTTGTCACAGATGTGGTGTTTGGGGTTAGCATAGGAAGGTGGGAAAATGCAAGAGAACAGAGGAGGAGACCTATAGCCATTCCTGGGATTGATAGCAAAAGGATACGGCGACGGCCAAGGCGGTCGATGAGATTGAAGGCTATTGCCGTGGCAGCCATATTCGTACCTGCGACTACCATGGCTGTTGCAGTCGGGCTCTTGAACCCGACCATGGAAAATATAGTTGCGGAAAAGTACATTAGCGAGTTAAAGCCGCAGGCTTGCTGAAGGCCCTGTAACAGACAGCTAATGGTCAGTGCGCGCCGGTTCCCGCCGACACTGAAGAGGAGCTTGAATTTCTCGGCAAGAGTGTCAGAGGTATCTGCTGATACCCCGGCTTCTATCCCTGTGATTACTTGGTCTACCTCTCGAGCTGTGAGGTTCCCGTAGGCTTTCGCGACCACCTTCGCGGCTTCACTGCGCCGTGAGTGTTGCAGTAACCAGCGGGGTGTCTCGGGCATGAATATCATTATGATGGCTTGTAAGCCTGCTGGCAGCCCCCCAAGCCCGAGCATATACCTCCAACTGGCATCCTGAGAAAGTGCGGGTGGGGACAGGATGATGCCCAACCCATAGGCAATCAGCTGTCCGAATGTAATGAATAACACGTTTACAATGACGAGTCTCCCACGGTGCGATGGAGGTGATAATTCCGAGATGTAAAGCGGGACGATTAGGCTTCCCACGCCAACGCCTAATCCCACAATAATCCGGCCAAGAACCATTGTAGTGACACTGTTCGAGAGAGCTTGCCAAGCGGCTCCCGCAACGAATAGCGCGTCGGCGACGTAGATGACGCCTTTACGCCCCATGTAATCCGCCAGCAAACCGGCAAATAATCCGCCGATTAGAGCTCCGAGAGAAGTCGACGAGGTAATGAGTGACTTATCCCACGTTGTAACTGCATGTTCTGGGGTAGATAATGATGGCGCCAGATGAAGGAGCGCAGCGGAAATAGATGCAGTATCGTCTATCGAACTTTGTTAGAGAACAGCGCTGGAAAGCTCACTAGAATGAAAAGTTTCGGGGAAACAAAAACAAAATGGAACCCACATCCAAACAAAAGCCCGCTGATACCGGCACTCACGGTGAGTAGCCAGATCCAGGGTCCGACCTCGTCACCATCTTCGGGACCCTTCTTCCCGTTGTCGCCATCGTCTCTGATAAGTGGCTCGGTGGAAGATGGAAGGATGGTGAGGCGCTCTTCATCTTCCTCGTATGTGCCGTCCTCCGCTGGGATGCTTCTATAGCCGGTGGGCATGGCTGTTGAGCTACAGCTTGTTTGGTGTGATATGAGCAAAAGGTCGTTTGGTAACCCAAAGAAAGGTTTGAGGTCAAAGTTAGCTTTCCCTCACGTGCCGAGATGGACATGTGCCCTTCGGAAGTAACCGATATCATTGATTGTCACTCGCTGAAGCTCAGTCTTGGCATTTCCTCAGGCACTTAGAATATGGAAATTACAGTAAAATTGACGTTAGAGACTTCTATCCTATACACAAGCGCTGGAGGAAAATGGTGAGTTTCTTGCAGTGGTCCGTTCCCGGCAATAAAATTATGTGGACACAACCACAGAGCACAGATAAAATTTCGCTATACGATACATAAATATTGAAATGGGAGAGAATCATAGTTCCAAAAGGCCAACTGGGGAAAGTATCTTACTCATTTCATTGAATGGGTATATCCTCCGGGTACTACCCACTCTACATCACAGAGGGGAGGTCAGAATATGTGAAGTTTCTAATCTTTACCCACCTAATATATTTCACTGTCTTATCTGAGTAATGGTAGTATTCCATGAACTGGGAAATGGACTGAACCCCCAGTGCTCATCAAGGAACAATTCAAGGAAGACGGAAGGCTGCAGTTACTGGAGATAAAAAGAAATCCCGAATTGCATCCGTCATAAAGACATACTACGATGTAGAGGACACGTCGGAACCTAGCCAGATCAAGGCAGCAGCTTTCCCAAGAGAGTTCGATAAAATATCTGGCCTGCGTGTTTCTTCCTTTCCTCGTTCTTACACGCTTTGGAGTTCACACAACACTTATGATAATATGATACTTCTAATCAACCTCTCCCTCGTCGTGTGCAGCCTGTGGCTTGCTCCGCCCTAGATCTCCTACCCGTGGGGGCGCCCCTAAATTTCACAACAACCCCAGCTTTATCGCCCAGGAAACCCAATCTTTTACCCTATTTTTTCTATATAGACGTATCATATGATATCCTAACTCTCTACAAAGGCAAGCCACCCCCCCCCCCTCCACTCCATTGAGCCTCGATTCTGTTGAGTTTCTTGTTCTATTGATCTTTCCATTCCATTGAGCTCCCCGCTCTATCGCGCCATTCAATTATGATTTGAGTATGATAAATCTTATAAATACCTCCACCTAAAACACACCTTCCCTCCAACAGCATTCCTCTACGCGATACACTTGCTCTTGTGAAGCACTTTTCTATCCACGGATCTCTTAGAAAATACACCCCCTTCCTTCTCCTTTATTTTCATCACAACGGACTTTTCCTGGACTTCAAATATGTCATCTTCTGTGGTCGACCAAACAGAGAGGCCACTTTCCTCTGGCGGCGCTTCACCTCCAGGATCTTATCATATTACTTCACCAGATATTCTTAATCAGGGATCCCTCTCTGACAAGTCCCCCAACAAGGCTTTCGTCAACAGTCTCCAATCTTCTTCCGGTGATGAAGAAAAGAGGGCCAACGATCCATCAGATGTCAAAGTTCACGCAACCAACACCAGTACCGAACCAGACACCAACCATGGTATCTCTTACTTTATGTTCTTTTTATTGAGACCATACTAACTGCTCCATAGAAGAGTCTTCTTCATTGGGGGTGTCCGTTACTGAAATTCCCGGAGGCAACAAGAGCGCGATTGGTATGTTTTGCTCCCTGCTCCAAGAATTTCACGTTATATAATCTAACAGAAGAAGATAATTCCCTGCCCGATACTCTACCAAACAAGTCATCCCCGCCTCCCACTTCCGCAGAGCTTCCCGCCGAGGAAGGCGATGCTTTAACACCTGCGGAAAGCAACACTTCCATTCCTAGCGAAACTGCCCTGTCTATCTCCACAGAGAAAAAGCTCCATGTGTCGGATACGGCCTCCATCTCTAGTCCCGTATTGAAGGTGGTCGAAGGAGCTCAAGCCGGCGCGACGCAACGTAGAGATACAAACTCGTTCGACATTTTCGACTCTGATGATCACAACACCGTTGGGGATGGCAGATGCCACGCTACCGACTCACCAGATGGCTCCATTTTCATTGGTAATGGTCTTCTGTCTCCTAAAGACTGCTGTGACTCTCCACCTCCAAATAGTTATATTGTCACCCCCGCCCCGAAGAAGGTAGCATCTATTCTCACTCCCCCCCCTTCTGAAGAGAAGATTTCCGCTATTTCTCCCTCTTCCCAAGAAATGGCCCCTGATGTTTATCCCTTCGAGAAGAAACCCCTTTTTACTTTCCCCCATGAGAATCACAACGGCGATGTTCGCACCTTGGAGCAGGACGATCTTCCCACGCTCCCTCATGGGGGAGATAAGGGCGACATTCGTACCTTCAAGCGGAACGATCTCTCCACGCTCCCCCATGAAGAGAATCACAGCGGCGGTGTTACTCCATCTGGTGAAAACGACCATTTTTCTATTCCCTATGAGGAGAGCCATGAATATTGTGCCCATGCCCTGGGGCGGGACAATCTTTCCACTCCCCCTCATGAGAACCACCGTGGCAATGTTTCTCCATTCCGGAACGACAATTTCACTCCCCTCCACAGTGAGAATTATTACGGCGATGTTCCTCCATTCCAGGAGAATGACCACTATACTCTCCCCCATGAGGAGAGCCACAGCGGCGATGTTTATATCCTAGAGCAGAACAATCATTCCACCCTCCTCCATGAGGAGAATCACAGTGGCGGCGTTACTCAGTTCGAGGAGAACCACCATTTGGCTCCCCCCTGTGAGGAGAGTCACTACGGCGATGTTGCCACTCCGAACAGAATCCCTCGCAGACCATATGGTGCGCCCATAACCACCAACGAAAAAGAGAAAACCAGAGGACGCATGCCCAGAGGAGATTACTGGAGGCCGTCGATGACTGATTCCAGGGCCCACTCTTATTACAGAGATGGCTATCGGCATAGGGAGATAGAAGGCCCCAATCATCGATTCCGTTCGTCAAGGTATCACTTGAACTACCCCTACTATAGTAGATATGAGATCTGTAGAAGAGATCGTTCAAGGTCACCAGCAAGAAATACTAAGAGAGGTAGATTCAGGGACCGCTCTCCGTTTCGCGGGAGATCGCGTAGCCGTAATGGCCGCCACGGTTTGTCGGGATCTAAAGTTTTGCACCAAGCTGAGGATAGTAGTGGCAGACACCGTTTCGGTACCCGGGAATTCAATGGGGATAGGTATATCCCTCCTCCCAAGCCTACGTATCCCGCACGCCGTTCTCCAGCCCCGTCTCCAGGCCGCGAACTCACTCCTCCCCGCCGTACTCGACGCAACCGCTCTCCCCGCCGCCCACCTCCACGGACCCTTCCTGAGCACCGCTCCAGTCGAGACTTGGAACACGCCCCCCCGATCCGTTCTTCCCACCCACTTCCTGACCAGCTTACCGCCTTCCAAAACAGTATTCGGCCACTAAACAATAGCCCTCGTCGTGTTGCCGGGAGTGTTTTCAAGGGAGTTCACTCAGCAGACATGAGAAATTCTAACTTAGAGCAAGCTTCCATTCTCACTTCCCCAAGGCGCCCGGGAAAGCGTAGACGAGTTGAGGACGAATTCCCTGTCCAACATAAACGCAGCCGGGGATATGAGCAGTCCTACAATGAAAATGTGAGGGATTATAACGCTCCAAGGTCGTATGGGTCGAGATAGGTTACTATATACACAGCTGACCGAGTATCCCTTCAATACCTTGCATAACAAAATCACCTCCCCATCAAAAAAAAAAAAAAAAAAACGCCATCATCACCACCAAAACTATCTGCGTCAAAAAACAAAAAACAAAAACAAAGACCCCCCAAAAAAAACCCGAAAACCAAAAAAAAAAAAAAGCTTACCTGTTAGCTGTTGCTGTCGGTTTACTTGTTTCCCCCACCTACACACCCCACCCGCCCCTTTTATCGTTTTAATGTGTTGGTCCATAGCTGTTTCTTGCTCCACTGTATCCCTGTTTTCCCCCTTGCATTTCATGTACCCCTCCTATCTGCCATTACTACTCTATCCTTACCGTCACTGTTGGCTCAATGGCATCTGTCTGTGATTTCTGCTCACCCCGCCGGAGCCCTAAATATCCGAGCCTCAAGTATAATACCCCTATCCCCCCTTCCTGCCTATTCTTGACTCCTGTCCCTTGTGCTTCTTTCCTCGTCACTGTGTTTTTAGATGTTTGCGTTGTTTGTAAAAAAATAAAAAACCCGTATAATTTTATCTTTGAGTCATGGGTGGTGATCGCCATGGTGATGGGATTGTCCCCACGATCAAGCTGGTGTCAGGGACGATCAAGCGGCGATCCTTCACCAAAGTTAGGACGAAAGCCGCACTATCAAATGCCGGTGCCAAAGCATGAGGTGAGATTGCCCATTACAAGTAGATGTGCCCGTAGTACAAAAAACGTCAATATCTGGATTACTCGGCTTTCACTTTAGGCTCAACAGGTACTTACTGTAAACCCGTGACCTTTCTCCTGATACTCAAACGAGGTTAGCTCAAAAGCGAAAGCAAAGGTTGTAGTTTAATTTACTAAGAGATGCCCCTCTGCTCGTCCTGGCCAAAGAAGAAGGCAGCAGGATCATGGTTTGGAGGTAGGGAAAAGAAAAACATACACATACTATACGATACATTGCAAAGTACTGTGTCCCAAAGAGTGTGGTATTCGCAACGTCTCTATTTTCTCTGCTCCCTAACTACAAGTGCCCCTACTGCCTTCCCTTTTGGCCAAGATAAGCAGAGGGATACCTTCTACTCATAGTACCGGTAAACCATCTGTCTTTTTCCTGCTTTGGCGTTAAGCTCGTTCAAGAATCTGGAAACAGCCCTGTATTTTTTTATTTTTACTATCATACGTGCTAAACAGAGCCTTAACGTCAAAATTTACAGCGTTACACGCTCGCACAGATACTTGGTGTCAATCTCGACAATCTCCTTGCCCCCCAACGCACGGATCCTACCGCAGAGAGCGTATCAACCCGCACTCCAATTCCCCCCAACTGGGTTCACCACCGCAAGTTCAGCTACGGGGCATCGTTAATTCCCTATCTCAATCTCGGCCCAGTGATG